CGGGGCGGGTAGCCACATATCTCCCCGCATGTGTTCATTGCATGGCTCGGCTCGGCTCTCCTCGGCTCGGCTAGACTCTGATCGGTTCATCTGTTCGGCTCGGATAAGCTCAGGATCACCCTTGTCTCTTCGAGCGGCGTTGGCAGACGTTGTCTGGCGCGCGCGAGAGGAGGCTGCGTGGGCCATGAGGTGCTCCTGACGGCACGACGAGTAGGGACGCGCCCGGACCAGACCGGACCTCGGCCATGTCCGCCTCCTCCTCGTCCGTGCGCTCGGCCGCGAGCCAGTCGCTGGCGGCGCTCGCCGTGTTCCTCATCAACATCACGAGCGGCATGGGCGTCGGCTGGTCCTCGCCGGGCTGGAGCAAGCTCACCGAGCCGGACGCCGGCGGCCACGCCGGCCCAGGCTTCCTCCTCGACCTGGACGAAGCGTCGTGGGTCGTGGCCATCTACGACGTGGGCATCCCCGTGGGTTCGGTGCTCGCGGGGGTGCTGCTGAGCTCGGCCGGGCGCCGGCGCACGCTCATGCTCGCGCCCCTGCTCGTTCTATGCTCGAGCGCGCTCACGGCCGCGGCGCGCTCCTCCGCGGCACTCAACGCGGCGCGAGTCCTCCTCGGCGTGAGCTTCGGCCTAGACCTGTCGTGCAGCAGCCTCTACATCGGCGAGATGGCGAGCAGCGACATGCGCGGCAAGCTGTGCACCTTCACGACCTCGCTCGTGTTCGTCGGCGTGCTGCTCGAGTTCGCCGTCGGGCCGTACGTGTCGTACTTCGCGCAGGCGCTGCTGCCCGTGCCCTTCGCGTTGCTCAGCCTGCTCCTCTTCCTGCTGTGGGTGCCCGAGAGCCCCTACTTCCTCGCGACGCGCGGCCGCGCCGAGGACATGCGCCGCGCCCTGGCCCGCCTGCGCGGGGTGCGCGCCGGCGACAGGCAGGCCGCCGTGGACCGCGAGGCCGAGGACATCCTGCGCGCCATGGAGGAGGACCGGCGGCGGACGCGCGCGCTGTGGCGCCACCTGCTGTCCTCGGCGGGCAGCCGGCGCGGCTGCCTCATCGTGCTGTTCCTGTGCGGCACCGGGCCCATGATCGGCACGGGCAGCCTGCTGTCCTACGCGCAGTACCTGTTCCGCACTACGGGCAGCGCCCTCTCCGCCGAGATGTCCGCCATCATCATGTGCTCCGTGCAGGTGGTGGCGGGCGTCGCCTCCTCGCAGGTGGGTCCCGCTGCAGCACCCCTACTCCACCAACGACCGGCCTCATGCTCATGCCCCTTGTCTCCTAGGTGATCGACCGCGCCGGGCGGCGGCCACTGCTGCTGGTGTCCGCGCTGTGCAACGCCACCGCCATGGCCGCGGCCGGCGCCTTCTTCTTCCTCAGGGACGTGCTCGGCGAGGGCGACGCGGCGGCGCGCCTCACCTGGCTCCCCCTCGCGTCCCTCATGGTCTTCATGGTGTCGACCAACCTGGGCACCACCACCGTGCCCTGGGTCATGATCGGCGAGCTGCTGCCGCACCAGACCAAGGCCTTCGTGCCGAGCCTGTCCGTCCTCGGCTTCTCCGTCGTCGCCTTCGGCACCAACAAGCTCCTGCCAGTGCTGGGCGAGCGCGTCGGGCTGTTCCTGCCCTTCTGGCTCTTTGGCGCCTGGTCCATCGTCGTCTTCTTCTTCACCTTGTTCCTGGTGCCGGAGACGCGCGGCAAGACGCTGCTCGAGGTGCAGGCCGTGCTGCAGGGCGACAAGGCGCTGCCCAAGGACGCCGCCGCTCTGGACCCCGAGGACGGGCGGGAGCCTGGGAGGTGGTGACCGCGAACGTGAATCCCATGGACAGAAGAGAGCGTTTAAAGTATTATTAGTAATTATTTTAGTATGTAATACCAGGTGGCTGAGTAACCAAGTTCACTTCTGTAGTTCTTTTGTACTGCATTCAAGAGTCCGAGTGGGCTTGCCTATCGCCCCTCTCCAAGCGCCTTACGGGTCGAGCGAGTAGGCAACCCGCTCGTCGGTCGTGCGTTACAGAGGATATCTCTTTAGCGCTGTTCGAGTGAGCGAGCGAGCGAGCGGGCGGCAGCGGGAGGGTAAAAGAGCATGCTAAAGGTATTTTTAGGCGAAAATGAGTGAACCTAGGTGTTATTTCGAATGGAAGAAGTGCAAAGCATTGTTATTCTGTAAAAATATTGATGCCTTTGGAGCAAGCCTCGAAGATTAACATTTACGTGAGGCAGTTTGAGCAATCTTCTTTGGCTACATGGTGGCTTTTATTCTGGCTGAGATTTGTTTGTACTTCTTTCCTTTTTCAAAAATGTATTTTGTTCACTCAGTTTGCCCTTAAAATACTGATAATTTACTCTTTTACCCTCCCACTCCCGCTCGCTCGCTCGCTCGCCCGCTCGACCAACGCTAAAGAGATATCCTCACAGTATAAACTACAGAAGTGAGTCGGGTCAATCAGCCAGCTGCTGCTGTAGCAGTTCAACTGTTATAATGTAAGATATAGTATCTTAAGTGTATTTTTATACGGCCCCTTTGTGGCTGTTTCTACCCGAAGGTAAAAGTTGCCATAATTATGATAAAGATTGATGGTTCCCGCTCCAGCCTTGATAAAGATAGTCGATTAACCATCCAGTTTTGATAAGCCTATTGACGTTGATAATGATCTGTTTGCCGTCACTATTCTCTACAGGGGCAGGCGTTTTCCGTTGTTTGTGCCCAGTGTTTATATTTATAAATAAATGATATTTTTGTATGTTGTATATAATTTTATATGATGGTTGTAAGGATTTCATTCCTCAGGCGTTACCCGAAAAAAGTGTATCAATAAATACCATGAGCCAGATGGAACAGATGAAAACAAAATTTGGTAAGACCAAACCTCTAGTCTGACCTCATCCTTGTCTCCCTAATCACATCTCAGTTCTCTTTGCGGGGCTCCCCCAAGGTCAGGCAGTGAGATCACTCACTCACGTAAGTGCATTGATTCCCGCCCTTGAAATAGAAAAGAGAAAGAAAGAGGTTGTTGCCTGGTGCAGATGATACTGTGTGCCCCGCCCCCCTCCCTTCCCCTCTCGCTATTTCGCCGGGAAAGGGGGGGCGGGAGGGGGTAGCTCAAGATCACGACCCGACAACGGGTCAGAAGAATCCATTGACAGCCTAGCGCATCTCTAGAGCACTGCACCCCGGCCTCCGTTACCACAGCGAAACATGAGCCGAGCATCACGAGTGAAGTAACTCGAGACGAGCAGCAAGTGGCGCACTGTCTGTGTGCCAGAGCACTTCTAATGGGGCTGTTCGCATGCTCGATAACACCCGCCGCGCGCCGCGGCCAAGAGACCGACACGCATCCGCGACTTGCGATGAAAAAAGAGAAGAGATGGGAGATTGAGACATGCGGGAGAGCACTTTTGGCCCCTACCGCACGGGGATAAAATATTGCCATATGTGGAAATCTGGCGGCAAAACAGACAAGATAGTTGCCCGGGGGCGGACCAGGCGCGGTATAAGGTCCAGCCGATAGGGGGGGGGGGGGCAGAGATGAGCATTTTAGCGAATCTGACCGACCGCCGAGACCGGCGCGTGGTCACCGCCTGACCGCCTGCAGGTAAGAGGTGAGGAGGAGGCACCTTTGCGTTGCACCGCTGCTGGACACCCCAGATTTACAGGGAGGCACCTTTCCTCCTCACCTCTCACCTGCAGCCGGTCAGCAGCATAACCGGCCAGGCTGTCTGCGCGGTCAGTCAGAAACAGGAAAAACGCTCATCTCTGGAGGGGAGGGGCGCGGGCACAGCGGGTCACCTACTACCTAGTACAGGGGCATTGTACTACACATTGCCTACCTTTCAGGCGGCTTTCTAGGAACGATGGGGGTGGGGGGAGGGCGATCTCCCCTCTTCCTCCTCCTTCTTACACCGCCCCTCGACCGCGCCTAGGGCGGGGCAGACTGGCCAGGGTGGGATGGTGGGATTTCTAACGAAGGCTCCTTTGTCCATGTATGTGGGCAAAGTCGAAATGATTCCGCCCGGGCGCCTGACCCCCAGTCCACCTCTCAGTATTTGTGTCAGCTCTGTGCGGCCCCCTATGCTATGCCCCTGTGTCCGGCCCCGGCACTCCGGCAACCATAGATACAGGTTCCCCGATCGCAATTCCATCATCGCGAGTTCGGGCGATGAGCCGGCGCGGAGCGTTATGCCCACAATTTTGTGGCTTTGTGGCGTTTTGGCCACAACGTATTTCTGGCCAATAAGATGAACGTTTGGGCTGCGCAGCCACTGACCGCGCCCTCGAGACAGCCCGTTTCGCACTCAGTCATGTGTTTGTTCCACCTGTTGCAGGGCCGCCGCCGCCGCCATGGGGACGTGCTGCAGCAACGCGGAGCGCGTCGAGCCCACCCCCGGGTCTCCCGAATCCACTGAGGTGAGTTGGGCTGTAGCCGTTGGTGTTGGGACGTCCTCCCTTTCAGCCGATGAGTTTTGCAAGACACCTTGAGTTTTGGCACCCCTTTCCTCTTATTGGACACTCCTTGGCTCATGAGCCCCTCTGCAGAAAGAAGGTGCCATCTCTCACTCAAGGTGTCCTGCTGGACACCCCAGATTTACAGTGTAGTGCAGGGGTCCTTCACCCTCTACAGGACCTGACGGGGAGGGGAGGGGGGAGAGCAGTGCCGTTAGTGACAGGTGCGACACGTGGTGCAAGGGTCCTTCACCCGTGCCGACGGGTACCAGGCAGGCGACGCCGCCGGCGCCACGGCGGCGCGGCGCTTAGGGTGTCAGATCGATGAGATGAAGGATGAGGGGAGAAGGGAGAAGGGATGGAGTGGTAGGCGCAGAGGCGCAGGCGACAGCGTGGCGAAAGAACGGGGAGCGCGCGCACACACAC